CTTTTGTTTTTGTGTGTTCTAAAAGTATAAGAAAGGCCATTACAACCCTTGGTTTGCACATGATGTTCAGGCTTATCTTTAAGAATTTGTTTTATCTTGGGGTGCCCGAGTGGCTCAGTTGGTTAAATGTCCGACTCTTGATTTCGACTCAAGTCATGATCTTCGGTCATGGGGCCTGCTTAAGATTCTTTCTCTCTCCCTCTGCCCCTCCCCCCTGTGTGCCTGTGCTCTCTCTCAAAAAAAGAAAAAATTGCTTTATTTCATTTACTGCTGAAGGTGTCAGGGCGAGGGTACCTGGATGTGCTTTCTCTTGCTCACAGCCCGGAAGGTGACCTAGGATAATGAAGCCAACATCCTCCCCGTCCTGGCGCCAGGGTTCCTGGGGCTAAAATTCAGTCACCTCAGCCTCTCTCCATGGGCACATGTTGACCAGGATTTACTGCTGAATTGAATTCTTAACATTAGCATTAAGTTTTCTGGCCATGTTATAAACAGTTGCTTACCTTTAAATTATACTCTGTAGTCTTCCATTTCTCATCAAGTTCCTTTTATCCCATGTTTTCCTCTTTCTTGGATTTTTTTTTTTCATTTTATTGCAACTGCATCCTCAAGAAGCCTCTCCAGAGTTTAAGGGTAACAAACGGAGTATATCCCAAACTGGGTTTACTTTGATCATATTTGAATGCTAGTTTGGCTAGGTGTCAGCTTTTAGCTTCTGAATCATTTTCCAAGAGAACTTTGAAGATATTGCTCAGGTTTTTTTTTAAATTAAGGTACAGTTGACACACACAGTGTTGTATTAGTTTCAGTGTATAACATAATGATTTGACAAGTGTATAAGTTATGTTATGCTTGCTCAATTGTTAATATTCAGTGTTGCAGATAATTAAGTTTGATGCTAATCATTCCTTCTTTTCTCCTCTCTCTCAGGCCTTAGGGTTTTTCTCTTTACTCAGATATGTCTAGATCATAATACAACTTCTGTTTGAAGACTTTTGTCTTTCTTCTAATCATTTTCTTTCAAACTCTTTATAGAACTTCTAATAAATGAATATTAGATCTCTTGGATCTTTCTCCCAATTCTACTTTTTTTATCCTTTTCACCTCTCTTTTTGCATTGCATTCTAGGAGACCTTCTTGGCTTAGTCTTCAGCTGTTCAGCTATGTGCATTTTGTTAATAAAACATTGCTGAATAATTTATTACTGTAATTTTTTACTTATAAGAACTGTTGGTTTTTGTTTTTCCTAATGGATATAATATTCCCTCAAATCTTATACATATCTCCACTACTGAGGGTTTTCTTGGGAGTAGTTCTTCCATTTACAGACTATGGTGCTTTTTCCATGCTGGTGGTGATTCTTGGTTGTCCGACTTTGTTGATGGGCATTTGGATTGTATCCAGTTTTTAGCTATTGGGAATTATACTGCCATGAATATATGTGCGTAAGTTTTTGTATAGCTGCTTTAATCTCTCTTGGTTAGATGCCTAGGAGTGGAATTGCTGGGTCATTTGCTAAGTATATGTTTAACTTTTTGAGAAACTGCCACGGTTTTGCAAAGTGGCTATACCATTTTATATTCCCACCATCAGTGATGATTCCAATTTCTCTACATCCTTGTCAATACTTGACTTTTTTGACTATAGCCATTCTAGTGGATGAGTGGTGCTGTCTCACGGTGTTTTTAATTTGCATTTCATTAATGACTGATGTTTCTGAGCATCTTTTTATGTGGTTATAACTTTTCTTTGATATTCTTTGCTGAATTGTCTGTTTAAATCTTTTGTCCATTTTTTTGGTTGGGTTAATTTTTATTTGTAGTTACTTTTAATTTCTGGCAACTTAAACTGCTTTTCTAGTATGGTAGTGATACAAAGTTTATTTTAAAAATAGTTGGTTTTTAAAAAGTATATCAATTAAGTGAAATATATTAAAGAAAAGATTATCACTTATCATTTTGTTGTGGCAAAAATTTTGAAGATGACATAAATGTCTAAAAAAACCACTTCCTCAAGGGTAGGTATTACCAGGGTCAACACCAGCCCTTTTCTCATTCTCAATATCTCTCAGTGATTTTATCTACTCCCATAGCTTCTGCCCTGTCCCTCTACTGATGTTGTTGAAGTTCACATCTCCAAGACCTGTATGTGAGGATCTGCAAATACTGTCTACTGTCTGCTAGACATTATGAAGATACCTCACTAGCACTTCGAAGTCAACATGTTTTCCTGACTGCCCCCTCATCACAGTGTTCCTTCCAACTTCCTATTTTGGGGTTCTCACCATTTTATAGTCACTGAAGCTTAAACTCTAGAACTCAGTCTTGCGTTATCTCTTTGCTTCTTTGCCTATTGCTTAACTCAGAATGCCCCAAACTCTTTTTCTCGCAAACCTGATGACTGTCAGAGTAAGACCCTCCCTATACACATGGCAACCCAAATAACACCTTCAGAGTTCTAGATTCCTCTCTTTCCCTTACCTTCAATATTGTGTCAGTGATCAAGTTACCTCCCACTTGCTAAAGATCTTTTGTATTTTGCTCCGCATTGCCATTCCTACCACCTTCCCCCTAGTTCGGAGATTCATTTCTCTTCTGGATTTTTGTAATAACCCTCTTATTGTTCTTTCTATTTTTAATATTTTCTCTCTCCTTCTCACCAAAGTTTATCACTGGAGTAACCTTTTTCTAACACCGATCATGTCACTTCTCTGCTCAAAATTCATCAGTAGGAAAAAAAAAAGGAGTGGGAGATACAGGCTTCTAGTTATGGAATGAAGAAGTCTTGGGAATAAAAGGTACAACGTAGAGAATATAGTCAATTCTATTGTACTAGCATTGTATGGCAATAGATGGTAGCTGGTCTTGTGAGTACAGCATAACATATAAAGTTACCAAATCACTATGTTGTATACCTGCAACTGATGTAATGTTGTGTGTCAACTACACTCAAAAATTTTTTTAAAAACCCCAAAATTTGTCAGCAGAGAACCATTATTTATATCAGTATTTCCCAACTTCATGAGTTTGCTATAATCAAGAATTGACTGTACTCTAATTATTTTAAGAGTGGATTCATTTATATGTCAAGAAATTTACTTTAAAATAAAATTTTGTAATACTACCATAAACAGAAAGCTAGTTGATTAAAAGTAAACATAAAATACAGGTTGCCCGGGTGGCTCAGTTGGTTAAGCATCTACTCTTAATTTTGGCCCAGGTCATGATCTCATGGTTTGTGGGATCAAGTCCTATGTGCTCCGTGCTAATAGCACAGATCCTGCTTGGGATTCTCTCTCTCCCCCTCTCTCTCTGCTCCTCCCCAGTTTGTGCTTTCTTTCTCTCTCAAAATAAATAAATAAACATTAAAAAAATAAAAAATAAAATTAAGCAAATAAAATAAAAACAAATAAAACAAATAGATAAATAAAATAAAAACAAATTAGTGTTGTGAATTGCTGGCTAAATATTGTATCATTTGATAAAATTATCCTGTTACTTATCCCCCCTTTTTTTTAAGTTGGCAGAAGGACTGAAAGATAATTGAAATGAGAATAATTTTCTCACACTGTGATTTAGTGTTATTTAATACTACTTCAACATAAGCACTACATGTATTCCACTCATTTGGAAATACTAACTATAGAATTCATTTGAAATCCTTTTTGTGGCACATAAGTTCTCTCACAATCTCCCTGTGCTTATGGTGTCTCCTACTTTTCTCCCTTGCATTTTATCCTTAGCAAATTAGAACAATGTAGGGTTGTTATGAAGATTAAATGAGTTTATATGTACAAGGTGCTTAGAAGTAAGTGCTCCATAAATATTAACTGTCGTTATCACTGTCATTATTATTGTGTTTTTTCTAATTAACATGTGTTCTGCCTGCTTGCAGACACTGTGACGTATTCTTGGGATGTTTTTTCACATTTGTCTGCTCAGCTAATGCCTGTTTTTTTTTTTTTTCTGCAAGTCTAAGCTCATACAGTCTTCCTCTTCTGAATTCCCACCCCCCCCCAACTCTACTGTACCTTGAATACATTCCCAGTATAACACCTGAAATATTCTCTTTGGTTATGTGAGTGGTCTGTAACTTTCTTCAGGGAAGGCACTGCATCTTCTTGTCTTTTAACCCTAGCACCTAGACCAGTGTCCAGCTCACAGTATTTAAAAAAAAATTTTTTTAACGTTTATTTATTTTTGAGACAGGGAGAGACAGCATGAACGGGGGAGGGTCAGAGAGAGAGGGAGACACAGAATCTGAAACAGGCTCCAGGCTCTGAGCTGTCAGCACAGAGCCCGACGCGGGGCTCAAACTCACGCACCGCAAGATCATGACCTGAGCTGAAGTCGGATGCTTAACTGACTGAGCCACCCAGGCGCCCCTCACAGTATTTTTTAATTCAGTAAATATGGATTAAGAGCCTTAGTATGCCATACCTTATGCTATGCATGGATGGTACAAAGATGAACAAGACATGGCCTATCTCTTTGAGGTAGGAGTCTGTTGGAAATACATATGATGTATATTTAAGAATTATGATTATTAATTTTTTATTTAAAAAACTGTAACAACCTAGTGAGATTTGAACATACACTCTTACTCCATAAGGCTCAGTCTCAAACCATTAAGCTGTGAGTCATACTAAAATTTTAAGTATTTTATCTCATCTGGTTAATAGAGTGTGAGGTCTCTGATGGCAAAGACTATGTATCTCAGTACCTTTCTTCCCTCAAGGTACTTGGCATTCATTGTTTACCTCTGGTAAATACTTACCAACTTATAAGATTCAGAATTATTTGGAATGACATGGTGGCTATTGACTCTAGTATTGCACAAGTTTAAAAATCACAAATGTACTTAGCCTTGTAGCTGTGACTGAAAAACTAGGACAATGGATGCTGATGAAAATGATAATTAATATGAAATGTGTAATTTTAGCATGCTACAGTGGCTTTATTTGTAATACATCTCTGAGATGAGTTTCTACTTTTTTGTAGCACATTTTTGAAGCTGGAAATACCAATGATGATTCAGGATTGGACTTTGAAGAATTTATGCAGTACCTTAAAGACCACGAGATAAAAATGAGGCTGGCATTTAATAGCCTGGACAAAAATAATGATGATGTGTGTGTTTGTGTTTTATTCACAATTAGCTTAACATGAATAATAATTGTCAGTATTAAAGGGATTTTTTTTACTAGCTTTTACTTACCCCTGTCATCAAAGATTCAGTTATTTCTATTGTCTAGCAGTAATTTTTATTTATAAAAATAATATATAAACTATATTTATTAGTGTTATAATTTTTGTGTGATTTTGAAAATATTTTGGTTGCAGGAAAGTTAGATAACACAGAAAAGATCCTAAAATAAAGTAACAGTTACTTGTAACTCTGCTGTGTAGATGTCAGGTTTAACACACACACACACACACACACACACACACACACAAATATGTAGTTGTTTGTTTTTACCTGAGAGAGAGAGAGCACGCTCATGTGTGCGCAAGCAATGGGGAGGGGCATAGGGAGAGGGAGAGAGAGAATCTCAAGCAGGCTCCACACACAGCACAGAGCCTGGTGTGGGGTTCGATCCGGAGACTGTGAGATTGTGACCTGAGTTGAAATGAAGAGTCGGACACAGCTGACTGAGCCACCCAGGTGTCCCTTGATATATTTTTATATTTCCCTCTAGACTTTTTATTTCTGTTTCTTTCTTTGTTTCTCTTTCTTTCTTTAAATGAAATTGTAGTCACGCTGTATATATAGTTTGGTGTCCTATTTTTTTCTCTGAATGTTACAATGTAAGCGTTTTCATTTCATTTAGTATTCTTCACATAGTTTTTAATGACTCTGAAATATTCTATTTATGAGTAGATAAATCATTCCTATATTGTTAGACATTTAGAATGTTTCCAATCTTTTATTCATAGTGCTGCAATCAATATCCATGCTGATTTACAGAGAAAAGGTATATTTTGTTACAAACCTTTAAATCAGAAAGACTATAGGTAAAAGTAGAGTACCATTTCTGCATCCATATGTGGCTAATCCATCATAGGTAATTAGAACCTAATTATATGCTATTCAAGAAACATATGTGTTGATTTTTTAAGTTTTGTGAAATCTAGTTTTTGTTAATTGAAAAATTCTAACTGTACCAGAAAAGCTATTTAAAGGATTGTACTGAAAGATTCTTGGGTAAAACAAAATGTAACCTGAATGTCACAGGCTTAGTGACCTGTGATATCCATACTGCAGCGCTCTATGCTTCCATTCACTTTCCAGAAAGAAGTTTAGGCCTTTCTGGGTTCTGCTACTGAAATAGTACCCAGAAGCTTTAAAGGTACCACTTACTAATTTATGTAAATTAGACCTGGTCATCGGTTGCTGCTGATCTTGGACCAGTAGTTCTGTTCTTGTGCTATTCTGGAATTTCACTCTCTTACTACTGCTTACCGCCATGATCATCATTTGTAAGCTGAAAATCCACCGTGTCAGATAATCAGCGAAATTAGAATGCCATTAGTAAAATATAATGGCTATCACTATCTCTGGTAAAGCTGTAAATCACTGCTTGTAGCTCTTGGTAATAATAGAGAATACTTTTTCTGAGGAAAGATGGATATCCGAAAGTAATATAGTGATTGGCAATATACATCTTTTAATTTCTGCCTTGTCTAGTCAAACTGCCAGGAGTCAGCCCCCAGAGTCCTGAGAGCCACAGTCCCAGTTCTCACGGGCTTCACGTGTCTCGAACACCTGAGCTGCAACAGTTGGTGTGAGGCTCTGCTGTGGGCACCAGGGCTACTGCCCACCTTGCCTGCAGAGCTCAGGCCCCAGGAGCCCTGCAGGAGCACCAGGTCTGGCGGAGCTGCCTGCTCCCTGTGTCATCATTGTTGCCACTTCAGTGACCACCTTGCAGAGCTCAGCCAGTTTACTTTGGCCAGCATGCTTTTTGTGTGTGAAAAAGGGAGCACATCCTCTGTTATGGGTTGAGGGGTGTGCAGCTTAAAAAAGATACGTTGAAGTCCTAGCCTCCTGTACCTCAGACTGTGACCTTATTTGGAAACAGTTCTTTACAGAAGTAATCAAGTTAAAATTATGTCATTAGGGTAATGCCCAATATCTAATATGACTGGTGTCACATCAAGGGGAATCGTGGACACAGAGGCACATGTGCACAGAGGAAGATGATGTGAAACGACCAGACTTCTGGCCTCCAGAATTGTGAAACAGTAAATTCCTGTTGTTCTAAACTACCCAGATTGTGGTACTTTGTTACAGCAGCCCCAGGAAACTCCTCCCTTCTGTTATGCTTTATCAAGTGTCTGACAATACCAGAATGTTTTGGGCCTCAAAGTACAGCTTTCTCGATTCATGTGAATATGCAGTCACTTTCTTCCAGAGTGTACAAATGCTTCCAGATTGGCTGCGATAGGGTAGTTTCTGCTGTCAGGTGTGTATCATTGACCCTGGAGCTGACATTTCCTTCTGAATTCTATTACTGGATCTGGCTCACTGCATCATACCTTCCCACGCTTTTCCTTCCTGACATCATTGTTCCTGATGGGACTCTCCCAGCTCATCACACATTATATTTGTTAAACATTAATAGTATACCGGATTCAATGTTTACCACCTGCTTTCTGTCCCCCAGGAGGCTTTCCAGGCCTTATGCCAATCAGTGGAGGCAAGAGGATGCATGTGGGCTGTGTACTATCAAACTCATTAGCAGGAAGTGCTCAAACCCCAGTGTAATCTCATCTATTTAACTTCGTTTCACCAAGTAGTATCTGAGCTCCTGCTCAGTTCAGCCAAAATGTCCATGGAATGCTGTTGTAAAAATGTGAATGAAGTAACTATTGAACATAATTTTATCATTAAGATTATTTTTTAGATGGAGTTTTTTGGAGGCTGAGGAAATGGTCGGAAAGAAATTAACATTTATTGGACTTTATCTTCTATATCTTATTTTTGTCTCACACAAGTCTTCGTAGCAGCTGTTTTTCACAGATGAGAACACTGAGGCTAAGGAAGGTTAAATAATTTTGCCTTCCATTGGCTTTCCCAGTGAACCACATCTCCCAGCACTTATGCCTTGGTGTAGCCATATACCACACAGACCTGTGTTTGGCCATTTGACTTGCTTCAGCCATTAGCACATTAGCAAGGCTTAATAAGTATTTGTACATTGGAACTTGTCCTCTTGGAATACTCTTTCTTGAACATCCTGAGCCACCAGAAAAGAGGTCTTAGCTACCCAGTTGGAGAGATTGCATGGAGAGAAATGCTCATTTAGTAATAAATTATTTTACATTTCCATCTGAGGTAATAGATATGAGTGAAGCCATCTTGGATTTCTAGCTGTGGTTGAACCTCCAGATGATTGAATTCACAGGAGTGGCCCAGGCAACACAAGAAGAACCAATGAGTTGAATCAAGCTCAGATTGCATACTCATAGTCAAATATATCCTTTTTAAACCACTAAATTTTGGAATAGTTTGTTACTTAGCAATAAATCACTGGTACAGGAATGGAATATTTTGTATTTCTCCCTGGAATTGCAATGCTAGAATGGTTGTGTTCCTCCTCTCCATCCATCTAACTATTGTTATTCCATTGAATTTATTTCAAGTCCATTATATGCTTGCTGCATATAATTAAAGACAAGTTTGAATCTCTTTTTCAGGTCATATGCCTTGATTATATTCTGGAACACATTACCTAATTTTTTCTACATCTTAGCTTGGATTTTTAGCTTCTTCAGGGTAAAAATTACTTAATGTATTTTAGTTAAATGAAGCAAACAGTTTTTGAGCACTGTATGTGAGTTATTGCACTAGGAACTGTGTGAACAAAGGTCTTCAGAAGCACACCATTTGGGGTGAATTAAGAATAAACATACAGAAGACAGACTATGATCATTGCTCTAGAAGCGATATAAGGAGAGCTTAATTGTGCCAAGGGACACTTCAGATTTGTGCTGGATCAATATGTAAATAGAATGGAAAAGAAAGGGTTTCTTGAGCAAAGAGAGTAAGTAGTTTGAACAAAGGCAAAATTAGGAAATTGTCAGTCAAGGTAAGAACTGGTTAATATGGCTTTTCAAGTTTGGCCCTAACTTACTATTTTTGGGGGGAAATTTCACTGACATATAACATATATATCAATGTGCACACATTCTAAGTTAAAAGCTCTACAAATTTTCCCGAGGCAAACACACAATATGAAAACAGCATCCAGATTAAGAAGCAAAATATTAGTGGTATCTCAGAAGCAGCCCTTTTATATCCCTGCCAAATCACTATCGCCCACTAAAGTAGCTGTTATCCTGCTTTCTAGTACTGTATGTAAGTCCTCAATCAATCTTTGTTAAACAAGTAAGTGTACCGTGCTCATACTGTATCTCTTGCTGAAATGCTTTTTTGTTTCTTTGGTGGTATATTGTTTATCCTTTATTGTACTTCATTTGTGACTTTTGTTTTTCACTCCTTTATTTATGCCTCCATTACACTTTATTTATAACTATCCTATAACATACATTTGGCACAGTGTGATATAATTTTGAAATAAGTAGTTCATCCATACAAGCTGGCAAGCTTCTCAGGGGTGGTTGTTTTATTAATCTCTGGCTTCTCTCACATTTAGCATAGTGATTTTAATAGTACGCTTTCAAAATATATTTTTTAAACTATTGAATTAATGAGCATAGTGTTCAGAGATTGTAATGGGATATAAGGCAGAGGATTCAGTTTTCCCAGTTGAAGAAAAGTTTGATTTCTAGGCTGAGGAATAGACCAGTAAATTCCACCTGTGAAGCTTGGAACGCTAGGGGCCTTGGAATGATTGCAAAGAGTCTGAAATTCTATGCATGAATACTGGGCTTTATCTATAGGCTAAATAAATAATATATCTCATACATATGTGCACTATTTATAAATGTATACAGATGCAGCTATGGCTCATAAAATATGAACTAAAGATGTGACTGAATTCATATATTTTTGATGTTACATATTTTCAACTAGGTGACATTAAGTTGATTTTTTTAATATTGAAATGTCCTCATATTTTAAAAGACTGAGTATCCTCAACTCTTTGTTTTACACAGAGGAGGAATCAAAGATTCTTTGGACTTGGACAGTGCCGTGATGAGTTATGTGTTTTAGAGTTTGAGGAGAAAATGGAATACTTAATTTTTCCTTTATAACATCCTGCAACATGAGATTGAGATGCATAGTAGGCTTGTATTCAATGTATCAGTTGATTAGAGTTATAGCATAGGATATGGTTGTGCTAAAAAGAATTTGTGTTGGGGGTGTCTGGGTGGCTCAGTTGGGTAAATGTCAGACTCTTGGTTTCAGCTCAGGTCATGGTCTTGTAGTATGTGGGATCAAGCCACATGTTGGGCTTTGTGCTGACAGCATGGAGCCTGCTTGGGATTCTCTATCCCTCTCTCTCTCTCTGCCCCTCCCCTGCTCTCATTCTCTCTCTCAAAAGGAAATAAACTTTAAAAAATGCACCTTAAAAAAAGATTTTGTGTTGTATTATAATTTAGGTATGTTATTATTTTTTTAGTTTACCTTATAAAATGTTGGGTTGCCTTATTTTCATGTGCCTGAATCAGATCTTCAGAGTTAGCTTTTAAATTTTTTCCAAGTAGGTATCATAATCTAAATCTGTTGTAGATCTGCAATCTCTTACTGGAAATCCTTAGGGTCAGATGTGTTCAGAAATTTAGAATTTGGGTTTTAGACAAGCAATACAGTTCCTGTATGATATATTATGTGATACTACAAGTGAGATTTGAGGTACCACTGTGCAATTATATATGTATTTCTTCAAAGAAACAAATGAATAATTATATAGAATCATAAATAATTGACTACCAAATGAATTTTGATGACAAATATACAAGAAGTCTTTTAGTTTTCAGAGCTTTTAAGCTTTGTGTTGTGAATATGGAATTATTGGCCTAAAAAACATGGACTTTTTAAAGACTATTATGTTCTAAGTATATTGCCTTATCTTTTCAGATACTTTAATTTGATATTTTTTTCACTTTTTAAAGGAATAATAGAAACTTCAGAAATAATTGCTGCTTTGAAATCACTGGGTATGAATATTTCTGAAGCTCGGGCAAAAAAAATTCTACAAAGGTCAGTCCTCATCCTTATTTTTAACAGTTTTTATTTAGTTCCATGTTAGAAACTAATTGCTATATATGTAGCGCCTTCCTTCCTCCCTGCCTTCCTCATTTCCTGCCTGCCTGCCTTTATAACATCAGCTTTTATTGACAGTGTTATAAGAAGAGTCCCTGAGAAATTTATTGAACTGTGAGAATGCTGTTGACTAAATCATGAAGTGTTTACACTTCACAAAGTCCCTAGGATAAAATCCTTCCTGCTTCTAGTTCAAAGAACAGATGTAATTCTCTTAAGCAATTGACTTAACACGTTTCTTTTTAATTTTTTTGACATACAAAATACTGTACATAATTAATATACACAACTTGGTGAGTTTGGAGATAAGTGAACACCTAGGAAATCATTACCACATCTGTGTCATAAATCTATCCATCCCTTCCAAAAGTTTCCTCCTACCCTCTTATTTACTACTATTATTTTTTCTGATAAGAATACTTTTTGTAGTTAAAACTTCAACTTATTTATTTTTTTACTGAGGTGTAACTGACATGAAACACTAGTTTCAGGCATATAATGTAATGTTTTGATATTTGCATATATTGGGAAATGATCATCACTGTAAGTCCAGTTAGCATCTGTCACCATATATAGTTAAATTTTTTTTTCCTACAATGAGAACTTCTAAGATTTACTCTCTTAGCAAGTTTCAAAATTATGCAGTATACGATAATTAACTCTAGTTATTATGCTGTACATTACATTCCCATGACTTACCTATTTTATAACTAAAGTTTGTACCTTTTGGCCTCTTTCACCCATTTCACTCATTCCCTAAACCCCCACTTTGGACAACCCTAATCTGTTCTCTGTATCTATGAGCCTTATTATTATTATTATTTTAATATTTCACTTATAGGTGAGATCATATGGTATTTGTCCTTGTCTGACTTGTTTAACTTAGCAAAATTCCCTCAAGGTCCATCAATGTTGTCTCAAATAGGTAGATTTCCTTCTTTTTTATGGCTGAATGATATTCCATATTCCACACACACGTGTGTGTATGTGTACACACACATACCACATTTTCTTTATCCATTCATCCATTGGTAGACACTTAGGTTGTCTCCATGTAAGAACAACTAACATAAATCTGCTGTCTTAGCAAATTTTTAAATATCCAACAGAGTATTCTTACACTTAGTACTTATTCTTAGAGGATTTATTATAAATGTTATAAGCACTATTTTTGTTGTAAATTTCAGCATCGATAGTGATGGAACAATGACAATAGACTGGGATGAATGGAAGTACTACTTTTTACTTCATCCTGCAAAAAATATTGATGAAATTGCTCATTTCTGGAGGCGCTCTACCGTAAGATTACTTTGTATTTTACTATATTTTTATTTTGTCACAAATGCCATAGCTGTTATTATGATCACATAATCCCTATACTACTTCCAGCCTCAGTGGCTAAAATAGCAAAATTCTCTCCTAATAGTGTTCTACTAATTTAGCAAGGAGTGTTAGTATTATATGTACAAAGACAGCTACCACAATTTGGTAAAATCTAGAACTTAAAGTAGATACTTATCTGCTGCAAGGGCCTTCTTTGCATTGAGAATAAGTTATTCCGATATAGTTAACTGTCTTAGGAAAGTGGAAAAATAATATACTTTAATTCTTTTCACAGAAATGATATACTCAGTTAGGTTTCTATCATAGGAAATGCAAAGTCAAACATTAAAATGCAAAATTTCAGAATCAGAAAGGATCAACTGTGTAATCTACCTATTCGTTTTATATAAGCACTTGACTCAGTTGTGAGGAGGAAATGAGGTTTTATAATTGAAAACATTTTTTTTTCTTTTTTAGATCTCTGATGCAGGGGGTTAAGTTAATCATTTATTCATGGTATACTATTTGCAAATCCTCCTCTCCATAGACAATATAAGGGAGGGCCAAGAGCATAGGCTTCGGAGTCAGATGCTTAGGTTTGAACTTCGCTTCTGCCATCCACTAGCTATATAACCCCTCTGTGCCTCAGGTTTTCTCAATTATATACTGGGTATAATAATGGTAAGAGTTTTGAGAATTAAATTAGTATATTAGTTAATAAATGTAGAAAAGGGCGGAGCAGGTAATACATGTCTTCAGTAAAGGTTACTTATTATGATAGGCACTTATTCTAATATGTTTCCTCTGTGTCTTGGATATGTATATGATCTTAGGAATCATGTAGTGTTTCATGTGTGTGCTTTTATTTTACATAGATGGTATTCTGCTAAAGGCTACAGCTGATTTTTTGCTTTGTTCACTCAATATTATGATTTTAAGATTTGTCCTTGTTTTTATGCATTCATCTAGTTTATTGCTTCTAACTACTGCATGCTATACATTTAACACATCTTCTTTATCCATTTTCCTAGTAATAGGAACTGATAAATAGTTTCCTCCAACTTCAAGCAAAATGCCTTCCTCTACTGTAGCTTAGGGAATTTCACCTGAATTTCTGAGTCAGAAGTAATATGCATTTGCAAATTTTAGTAGGTTATCCAGTCTTAATTTTATAAAATATATCCATGTTATTTCCCAGGATAACTTGCTATGGTAGCTTACATTCCCACCAGCAATGCCTGAAAGTTCCTGTTTCTCTACGTATTGCTTGGTATTGTCCAGTTTTCTAATACTTTCCACTCTGTTGGGTACAAAGTGGTATCTTCTTTTAATGTGCACTTCTTTGATTTTAGTCCATTTTAAACATCTCTTCATAGAAATACTAGAGATTCACGTGTTCTTTTTCTATGAATTATCTATTTATATCCTTATAAGATTTGTTGAGATATAATTGATATATGACATTGTGTAAGTTAGGGTGTACCACATAATATTTGATACACTTATGTATTGTGAAATGACTGCCACAGTAGGGTTAGTTAGTTAGCACTTCTGTTACCTCACATAATTATCATTTCTTTTTTGCAGTGAGAACACTCATAGCAACTTGCAAGTATATAATACAGTATTAACTATAAGCACCATGCTGTAATTAGATCCCCACAGAATTTGTTCACCTCATAACTGGTGGTTTTGTCCTTTGACCAACGTCTTCTCATTTCCCTAATTCCCCAGCCCCTAACAACCACCATTCTACTGTCTGTTTATATGAATTTGGCTTTTTTTAGATTCTGTATATGAGTGAGACCATACAGTATTTGCCTTTCTCTATCTGACTTATTTCATATTTAGCATAATGCCCTCAAAGTCCATCTATATTGTTGCAAATAGCAGGATTTTCTCCTTTCTAGTGGCTGAGTAATAATCTATTGTGTATAATGTATATATATCACATCTTACACTTAGGTTGTTTACGTAACTTCACCATTGTGAATAATGCTGCAATGAACATGGAGGTACAGATATCTTTTTGAGATCCTGATTTCATTTTCTTTGGCTTTATACCAAGAAGTGGAATTTCTGGATTATATGATAGTTCTGTCTTTAATATTTTGAGGAGCCTCATACTGATTTCCATAGTGGCTGCACCAATTAAATTCCCACCGACATTGCAGAAAAGGTTCCCTTCTGTCTACATCCTCACCGACACTTGTCTCTTGTTTTGTAGGTAGTAGCCATTCTAACAAGTGTGAGGTAATATTGTGATTTTGATTTGTGTTTCCCTGATGTAGACCATCTTTTCATATACACATTGGCCATTTATAGGTCTTTTTTTTTTTTTGAAAAATGTCTGTTTTGTTCTTTTGCTCATTTGTTTTCATTAGATTGTTCTTGAGTTGTATGAGTCCCTTATATATTTTGGATATTAACCCTAAATAAGATATATGATTGTTTCTTTTACTGTGTAGAAACTTTGAAGTTTGATGTAGACCCACTAATTAATTTTTGCTTTTGTTATTTATACTCTTGGTGTCATATCCAAAAGGTCCTTGATGGTACCCATGTCAAGAAGATTTTTCCTTGTCTGCTTTAAGGAGTTTTATAGTCTGAGGTCTTATTTTAAGTTTTTAATCCATTTTGAGTTCATTTTTATGAGTGGTTTAAGGTAGAGGTCCAATTTCATTTTGCTGCATGTGATTATCCAGTTTTGCCAACACCATTCTTTGAAGAGGCTATCTTGCCCATTGAATATTCTTGGCTTCTTTGTCAAATATGAATTTACATGTAAGGATTTATTTCTGGGCTCCCAATTCTGTTTCATTGGTTTATGTGTCTCTTTTTCTGCCAGTAGCATACATTTTCATTATGAGCTTTGTAGTATTGCTTGAAACCAAAGAGTATGATGCCTCTAGCTTTGTTCTCTTTCAGGATTACTTTGGCTATTTGGAGTTTGTGTTTCCATATGCGTTCTAGGATTTTTTTTCTATTCTGTGAAGAATGCAATTGGAATTTTGATAGGGATTGTGTTGCATCTGTAGATGGCTTTGGGTATATGGACATTTAACAATATTAGTTCTTCCAAACCATGACCATGGTATATCTTTCCATATATTTGTGTCATATTCAATTTGTTTTTAAAAAATTTTTAATGTTTATTTATTATTGACAGACAGAGCGTGAACAGGGGAGGGGCAGAGAGAGAGGGAGACACAGAATTGGAAGCAGGCTTCAGGCTCTGAGCTGTCAGTACAGAGCCTGATGTGGGGCTCTAACTGACAAACCACAAGATCATGACCTGAGCCGAAGTCGTCCACTTAACCCACTGAGCCACCCGGGTGCCCCACATTTTCATTTTATTTCATCAATGTCATCTAGTCCTCAATCTGTAGGTCTCTTACTTCCTTGGTTAAATTTGTTCCTAAGTATTTTATTGTTTTTGATGCTATTATGAATGAGTTTGTTTTCTATATTTCTTTTTCATATATTTTGTTGTTAATGTATAGAAATGCAGCTGATTTTTATATATTAATTTTGTATCTTGCAATTTTACTGATTTCATTGATTAACTCTAACAGGTTTTTTTGTGGAGTCTTTGGGATTTTCTATATATAAGATCATGTCATTTGCAGCAGAGACAATTATACTTCTTTCTTTCTGATTTGGATGCCTTATTTTTCCTCTTTCTTGCTCAACTGCTATAGCTAGAACTTTCAGTACTGTGTTGAATAGGATTGGTGGGAAGAATGGTCAACATTGTCTTGTTCCTGATCTTCAAGGAAAAGCTTTCAACCTTTAACCATCAAGTATTATGTTAGCTGTGGGCTTGTCATATATGGTCTTTAATATGTTGAGTTATATTCATTCTCTACCCAATTTTTTGATAGTTTTTTTTGATCATGAAAGGATGTTGAATTTTGTGAAATGCTTTTTCTGCATCTATTGATATGATCATATGATTTTTATCCCTAATTCTATTAATATGATGTCACATTTTTTGATTTGTGTATGTTGAAACATCTTTGCATCCCAGAAATAAATCCCATTTATCATGATCCTTTTAATGTGCTATTGAATTTTATTTGCTAATATTTTGTTGGGATTTTTGAATTTATATTCATCAGGAATATTGGCCTATAGTGTTCTTTTTTTGTAGTGTCCTTGTCTGGCTTTGGTATCAGGGTAATGCTGGTATTGTAAAAATTAGTTTGGAAGGTTCTATACTCTTCAGATTTTTAGTAGAGTTTGAAAATGATTGGTAGTAATTTTTCTTTAAATGTTCGTAGAATTCACTAGGGATACCATCTGATCATGGGCTTTTATTTGTTGGGAGATTTTTGATTACTGATTCAGTCTGCTTTCTCATTGGTCTGTTTACATTTTCTTTTTCTTCATGATTCAGTCGTGTGTGGTACATTGTATGTACCTAGAGATTTATCCATTTCTGCTAGATTATGCAATTTATAGGTGTATAATTGTGCAGAGTAGTGTCTTACGACCCATTGTATTTCTGTGGTATCCTTTATATTATCTCCTCTTTTGCTTCTGATTTTATTTGGGTTTTCTCTCTTTTTTTAGTTTAGCTAAAGGTTTCCCAATTTTGTTTATCTTTTCAAAATAACCAGCTATTAGTTTTGGTGATTTTTTTTTTTTTTTTTTTTTGCTTTGTTTTTGGTCTCTATTTCCTTCATTTCTGCTATGGTCTTTATTATTTCTTTCCTTCTTATAACTTTTGTCTTAGTTTGTTTTTCTTTTTCTAGTTCCTTAAGGTATAAATTTACATTGAGGTTTTTCCTGTTTCTTGAGGTAGGCCTGTATCACTATGAACTTCCCTCTAAGAACTGCTTCTGTTGCATGCCATAAGTTTTGGTATGTTGTGTTTCCATTTTCATTTGTCTCAAGATATTGTTTTGATTTCCCCTTTGATTTAATCTTTGACCCATTCAGAGGCCTTATTCTCTTCCTTATCTCCTTTATTTTTTGTATTTAAATATCCTGCATTTAAACATTTAACATATTTAAGTCAGTATCATTTAAAAAAAAGTATAATCCTACTGATGTTCCCTCTAGCTACCTTATCTTTTTTACAGTCTTCATGGCTATACTTTCCATTTACTTCTCAACTAACTGGCTTTGCTTTTAACGCTTTATAAAAATTATTTTACCAAGCCAGTCTCCCAAATGTTAGTTCAATGTATATTTTCTAGATCTTACCACTCTCTCTTTTTAAATGTTCTCTTCAGCTGGCTTCCTTGACACTGCATTCTCCTGGTTTTCTTCCCACTTCTCTATCGTTACTTTTCCATATCTCTTGAGGATCTTCTTCCACAGTTTGTTTCTTATATGTTTTCTTCTATATTCTATTTTAAGCTTTCTTTACGTCTCATTCTGTACATTTTCTTTCCTAGGCAGTCCCACTTACTCTTCCATCTAGAGCATACCTTCCTTCTGCATGTACAAGCATTCATTGGACATCAATTGAGACACCTCAAACATAAACACAACATCATCTGTTCCCTAGACCTTCTTTTTCCATTTCGCTGAATGGTGTCATTAACTTCCTAGTTGCCCAAACCAGAAATGTCAACATTATTCTGAGGTCTTGAGCTTTTCTTTATCCTCCTTCCATCCCTGTATACAGTCTTGCAGTTCTTAGAATATGCAGTATCTTTGAAGAAATTATTTCCTTTGCCTAGAACATTCCCTAGGTTAATGCCTACTTCTATAGGGAGATAGTAGAGTGTGATAGACAAGAAGTTAACCTTTGAGGTCAGAATACCTGGATTCATATTGCTTTGCTACTTCTAAGTCACTTTGTGTGGAAAATGTTCCCTGACAGTTCCACTCATCTCTCCCCCCTGCCAAAAAAAAATTCTATACTCTATTCAGTGTCTCTATATTATGTTATTTTTTTAATGTTTATTTATTTATTTTGAGAGAGAGTGTGTGTGTGAGCAGGGGAGTGGCAGACAGAGAGAGAGACACAGAATCTGAAGCAGGCTTCAGGCTCTGAGCTGTCAGCACAGAGCCCAACATGGGGCTTAAACCCACAAACTGTGAGATCATGACCTGAGCTAAAGTTGGACACTTAACTGACTGAGCCACCCAGGCACCCCTGTATTATGTTCTTAAGACATTTTTTTTTGCTACTCTTATTATTGTACTTATTCCTCTGTATTATAATTGCTTGTTTCCTTTCCTGTTTTTCTCATTATACTATAAACTCCCAGAGGGAAGAAAGTAACTTTTGAACCATAATATTATGAATGCACAGCCCAGCACGTGGCATGTTAATTTATTAATTCAACACCTATTTACTGAGCATACTTATCTACATAGACCAAGGTGCAAGGTTGACAACAGTGAGCAAGAAAGACTAGTTTGCAGCTCTTATCAGGATTAATTTCTAAAGGAGGAAGCAACCAATAGATAGAAATGAACTAATTAAAAATAGTAAGTGTTAGAGAAGAATTCATGGAAAGAGCGACAGAGGATTGTTCTAGGTAGAGGGGAGATCAAGTACAATGGTTTTGAGGTGGAATGGTGTTTGTAAAGGGGGCATTCAATGAATGAATAAACTGAAGGTGGGAAAACTAAGAACCAGAGAAGTGACTTGTCCACCGTGATTGACAAGTAATGGAACCTAGATCCCCTGAGTCCAGTGTGATGCTCTTTCCAGAGAGTCACACTGCCTCAACATTTAGCAGAAACGGACAAGCTTAGCAAAAGCATGTATGATTACTGAAAAGAAAGTGAAATGCAAAACTTGTCAGAGTTCAGATTTTTAAAAAGAAAATTGTCATTTGAGGAAAGAATTGATGTCAGTAATAAAGAAATTAAAGCATATAAAATGCTGCTCTTGAATTCTGACTTAGGTAAGTACACAGTGGAATTTGAGAGAATTTTAAATAAAGTAAAGAAACTTAATTAAGCATTTATTCCTTACCTATTGTGTGGCAGGCACTGTGGTGTGTTACTAGGACGTGGTCACTGCACTGATTATTTACATTTTTCATGGAATAGTTTGATAATTTAAAATTAATAACTGTAATGGTAATTGATTTTACAGATTTTAAACCTATATGTGAATGTATTATTAAAAATCATTTGGTCTAGTACAAGCGCTGAGAAAATTGTCAGTCTTCATTAACAGGTGGTGAGATATGAAAAAAAAACTTTGGGTTTTTGGTCTTTGTAAAAAGTTATCTTTTTAATTTATCATTTCCTTATTATGTAATTCATATTTATATCGTATCAGATAATTGACATAGGGGAGAGTATATCTATTCCAGATGAATTTACTGAGCAAGAGAAGCGTTCTGGAGATTGGTGGAGGCATTTGGTGGCAGCAGGTATAGCCGGGACAGTTGCAAGGACATGCACGGCACCTTTTGACCGCTTGAAAGTCATGATGCAGGTAGATTGCACACTTTACCCCTTAAGCATTAACATAACTTGAAAAACCCTCCTTAATTTTCAAAAGGAAATATTTTGGCACATTTCATCCTATTTCCCATTAAAGTTTTACTTTTTCTGAAAATGTAAATTTTCTTATTTCAATATTAAAAGATTTCTTAATTTTCTTACAGATGCTTGTGTGCTATTTGAATTAGTTTTTATTGGAAATAATAATAGAACACTCTGTTAGAGGTTTTTTTTTCCCCAGAAATATAACTAAATCTACCAAAGAAGTGATAAGACACCACTAGTCTTATTTATTGGTTATCTTTAGACTCTAGCACCTACATAATAACACGGTTGTATTCTACTAATGAAGTGTTAGGCATATTTCTAAGAACTGGAAAATAAGTTACTTAAAGTTTACTAGTGGCTGATACTTCACTAGAGGTAATGTCAAATTATTTTTATTTTACCGAGTAGGGATTGTCAATGATAGTTTTAAAGTAGTGCATAGTTTAGTCTGTTAACTATCATAATTCAAATTTAATATTTGCAGAATACTTTCTTTGCAAGGATATAAAAATTTATAATTCACAGTCTAGTGAGTTTAAATTTGTAATTAAACTTACATACTGGATGTTGTTTTGTCTTTTGTTTTTTTGGTAACATTGGTGACATTTGGTAATGGATTATGAATAGTGTTTTTTGGTTGATGGCTGATCTTGTTACTCTTAGAAAATCTTATTTCTGACAGACTCAGATGTACACGTTGGGAGCTCTCAGAGGGGATAGCTCCCATCTCCTGACAATCTATTCCTGCTATTTTCCTTTGGCTTCCTTCCTTCTCTTGCCAAATGTTTACCATATTCTATGGCCTCTTCCTTATTTTTCTTAGTATGCTATCTCTTCAGAGCCATCATTTGTGTTGCAGGACACATGGAACAATGAGATAACTGAATCTCAGGCACTTGGGTCCTGGGTTTCATGCCAGCCCTGAACAAAGGTTCAGGGGCTTTCTGACAACATGTTGGGGGACATCATCTTCTACAGAGAGAATGAAAAGTTTGCAGATCCTGCTACCTCTTATGGGTGCTAGGTGAAGAGGCACAGTAGTAGCAGCCTAGGAATATCCTTCTCCCATTTTTTCACAATAACCAAGTTTAGAACACTCAGATCTGTATCCACAATGCAACCCTGAACATATTTGCACTTTCTTTCTCCAGCTCTTCTGCATCTATAGCAGGAATGCCTCTTACTAAGTAGCAGTATATATGAATAATTTATATACTGTTTTTTGTTCTTGTAATGAACAGAATAATGTGAGCATGTTTTCATGTTATTTCATATATTCTTCAAATATTTCAAATATTTGTGTATTCTTCAAATACAGGTTTTAATGACTGTATTATTTCAAGTGGATATGTCCTATTATTTTTGTTTTTTTTCCTATTCTTGGACATGTAGGTGGTTTTAAAATTCTTTTAAAATTATAATTCATAATAGTTCATAATGATTAACATCATTGTTTATGAATATTTTTATCATATTTAGGATTATTTATTTAGAAATAGTTCCTGGAAATTAAGTAATGATTTGAAGCTGTGTGGGTGCATATGCTTAATGTTAAATTCTTTTCCAGACTTCTTCCCATAGGAGGTGAGAATACCCATTTCACCCTGCTCTCCCATTATTATTCTCTTATATCAGAGCCAGGAGGGTATTTTACTGTTTTAGTTTTCACTCTATTAAAAATAACATTTTTCTTATTATAAAATAAAACATTAGGAAAATGGGAAAATAAAGAAAAGTATAAAGGGGGACATTAAAATGACCTGTAATCCTTGTGTATTAGTCTGCCAGGGATGCTGTAACAAAATATCACATACTGACTGGCTTACACAACCAAATTTTATTGTCTCACAGTTTTGGAGGCTAGAAATCTGAGATCAAGGTGTTGGCACCTTCTGAGGGCACTGAGGAAAGGATCTGTTCCAGGCCTTTCTCCTTGGCTTGGAGATGACTGTCTTTTCTCTGTGTCTCTTCACATTGTCTTCCCTCCCTACATATTTCTGTGTCCAAATTTCCTCATTTTATAAGGATACTAATCATATTAGATTTTAGAGCCCGCTTTAAGACCTTACTTTAATTTGATTATCTGTGTAAAGACCCTGTCTTCAAATAAGGTCACATTCTGAGGTAATGGGCATTAGGACTTCAACATATAAATTTTAGGGGGACGCAGTTCATCCCACAATACCTTGCTACCCAGAAGTATCCACTTTTGAAAGTTTGACATATTCTCATCCATTCCTTTTTCAGTGCATATTTCAGTGTACTTTTTAATAATCTTGTGATATATTAGCAGCAACACATTTTGTGTGTGTAAAAATTTTCTGGTAAGTCATTCCTGTTTTCTTTAAGTTGTTCTTTTCTTTGATATATGAGATTAAAGTATGTATTTGGTAAAACAAAAGAATTAATATATCAATTTTGTATGTCTCCAAACAAAAATGAAAATGGTATTGAATATCATATTGATATTTATATTTATGTATCATTATTTTATTAGCAATAATAACATCATTGTCATATTACCAACAAAATCAATTAAAAAATAAATTTCCTGTTCATTTCTAGGTTCATAGTTTAAAGTCAAGGAGACTGAGATTGATTGGTGGGTTTGAGCAGATGGCAAAAGAAGGAGGAATTCATTCTCTTTGGCGGGGGAATGGTGTAAATGTTTTTAAAATTGCACCTGAGGGGCGCCTGGGTGGCGCAGTCAGTTAAGCGTCCGACTTCAGCCAGGTCACGATCTCGCGGTCCGGGAGTTCGAGCCCCGCGTCAGGCTCTGGGCTGATGGCTCAGAGCCTGGAGCCTGTTTCCGATTCTGTGTCTCCCTCTCTCTCTGCCCCTCCCCCGTTCATGCTCTGTCTCTCTCTGTCGCAAAAATAAATAAATGTTGAAAAAAAAAATTAAAATTGCACCTGAGACAACACTCAAGATTGGGGCCTATGAACAGGTAAAATGTTACTTCTTGTGGAATTTTATGATAAAGATCAGGTTTTAAATTTAATTAAAAAATTTAGACTTTCATGAGAGAGAAAAGTGGCATGTGCACAAGCAGTAGATATCATTGTGTAAATGATACCTTGAAGATATTGTGGGTTTGGTTCTGGATCACTGCAATAAAGGGAGTCAAATATGTTTTTGGTTTCCCGGTGCATATGAAAGTTATGTGGTCTATTTAGTGTGCAATAGCATTGTATCTAAAACAAAAATAAAAAACAAAAACAAACAAAAAAAAACAACTATGTATTTACTCTAAGTAAAAGTACTTTATAAGCATCATCTGAACTTTTAGTGAGTTCTAATCTTTTTGCAAATGGAAGGTCTTGCTTTTATGGGTATGGTTGCTAACTGATTAGGGTGGTGGTTGCTGAAGGTTGGGGTGGCTGTGGCAATTTCTTGAAATAAGACAGCAATGAAGTTTGCCCCATTGATGAACTCTTCTTTTCATGAACATTTTCTATGTAGCATGTGATGCTGTTTATTAGCATTTTACCCACAGTAGAACTTTTTTTGAAGTTAGAGTCAATCCTGTCAAACTTGCCACTGCTTTATCAACTAACTTTATATAATAGTCTAAATCCTTTGTTGTCATTTTAACAGACTTCACAGCATCTTCACCAGGAGTAGATTCCATCGCAAGGAAACACTTTTTTTTGTTCTTCTATCAGAAGAAACTTTATCTGTGAAAGTTTTCTAATGAAATTACAGCAGTTCAGTCCCATCTTCAGGCTCCACTTCTGATTCTAGTTTTCTTGCTGTTTCCATCACATCTGCAGTTACTTCCTGCACTGAAGTCTGGAGCCCCTTCTTCCAAACTCCTATTAATTGATTAATTTATATTTTGACCTCTTCCCATGAATCATGAAAATTCTTAATGACATCTGGAAAGGTGAATCATTTCCCGAAGGTTTTCTGTTTACTTTCTGTAGATCTGTCAGAGGAATCTATGGCAGCTATAGCCCCCTGCTGTCAACACTGAGACAGTCATCTTTGGGTCTTTCAACAAGGACTCCCTTCTTCTCTTAGAAACATAGTCTACTGGTAGGTTCTCCAGCCATGATAAAATTCATTGTAATATTTCTACCTTCCTGAGTCTACTGACCCCTTCCTCAACAATCTGTCAAGACTTTAACATCTCTATCTCATTTTCTGCCAGCTGTAGTTGTGTCCAAGCTTTAAAGAGCAGTCCCAGTAGCATATTCCAACCGGCTTTAGGAGTCCTGTGTCATGAGAGAGTGTTCCACATCAGTAAAGTCTTCTCTATCCAGCATTACATCCCACCTCTCATATCCCCCCGGTCAGTAGTCTTGTGATCCACTCTCACACCATTCCCTTGGTTCCTTCCAGCCCATAGTAGCCAGGTCCTTGGGCTGTCTGAGGACTGACCCTATATAAGTTATTGGTTGAGAGGCAGTAAGAGGCAATCATAGGTGGGACAGACTGTGGGAAAAGCAAACATCCTCTTGTTAGGTATCTGCCTTTTTGAGGCCTTTACATTGCCTCTGGACAAAGAGAAGCTTCTCTGCTCTAGAATTAGGAAGGAGGCAACTTTTTGCCAAATTGGAGGGTGCTAGAGACTACATTTTCTAGGCATATACATCCAAATGTCCCCATCCCATGTGTCAGGGTCTTACTCCTCCCCAGCGAGGGTCTTCACTTTACCATAGGAGACCTTTTGAGACTCTACATGGTTTCCTTAGTAACTGTTACCTTTACATTTATATCCTGGGCCTGATTTGTAGTTATCCATGAGACTCTCTTTAAATGCTTATATGAAGGCCTTACGGTGTTCATAATATGATTTAAGGTGACAATCAGCTGATCTAACCTTGACATTATCTTCCTTCAAAGTATCTAAGACATGGGGTGCCTGGGTGGCTCAGACGATTAAGCATCCGACTTCAGCTCAGGTCATGATCTCATGGTTTGTGGGTTTGAGCCCCATATCAGGCTCTGTGCTGGATTCTGTGTTGCCCTCTCTCTCTGCCCTTCTCACACTTGCACTCTCTCTCTCTCTGTCTCTCTCTCAAAAATAAATAATTAAAAAAAAAAGGATCTAAGACATGATGAATCACTAAACTCTACACCTGAAAATAATACCACACTATATGTTAGCTAACTTGAATTTAAGTAAAATCTTGGAAGGAAAAAGAAAATAAGAAAAAACACAAAAACCCCAAAAAACAAAGTTTCTAAGACAGTGAATTAGAGCCAGCCACCTCTACAATCTTGTAATTTTCCCTGTGCTGTTCAAGTATTAGGGCAACTGCATAATATAATGCCTTGCTGCCTATGAATATCTCATCCCAACCCACCATGACTATGAATCTTAGTAATTATAATTACTAAGTAATAATTATAATTACTAAGTAATTATAATCCCCTTAGCAAGGAGAGATTGGGTGGAAGGGAGGTTGTCTGGTTTTTTCCTCTCAAGTGAAATGTTAGCAATTTAGATTTTAAGAAAATACCTTTATCACTTTACAAAAAGAAAAAGAAACCTTATCTAATTCTATTTTTATATTCCTCAGTAAATTATTTAAGGAGTCATGTGGCAAGTGATATTCTTTTACATTTGTTTTCTCCTCTTGTTGGTAAGATTTTCAGATTTAATTTAGATTGCAATCCAGGTGGGGAATCTCTCTATCCATCCAATCACCCATCCATTGCCCTATCAAACTGTGTCATACCCAATTCCAAATGCGTTGTTGAGGTCCCTTATGAAAGACATTCAAGTGCTGCCCAAAAGAACTTTCTGCAGTGATAGAAATATTTTATCTCTGTGTTGTCCAGTATGAAAGCCACTAGTCAGGCACTTGAAATATTGCTAATGCAACTAAGAAACTGGATTTTTAGTTTTAATTAATTTTAATTAATTTAAGTTTAAATAGACACAGGTTTCTGGGGTCTACTGTACTGGATAGCACAAGATTATTCTAGAGGTAGGGAGAGAGTTCTATTTTAGCTTGTGTAAATTCTAGAGTAATTTTAGCTTCTGTAAATTCTCATTAATCATTGGACTATCTTAATGTATAAAGACTAAATATTGAATTACACTGATTTTTTTTTTCAATTTACAGCACTGGAGGAAAAAGGAACAACAACTTCTATGATTCACCTCAATCAAGAGATACATAACAATGAAGGAAAAAAGGGATTTTTCAGGGGTCTCACCCCAAACATCATAAAGGTGCTTCCTGCAGTAATCATCAGCTGTGCAGCTTATGAAAAAGTGATACAACATATGGGATTAATTTAAAAGTGAAATGTCAAATTATTGTCATAACCAGAATCACTTAATTGTAAGATAATACCTGGGTGGTAAAGAGAAATCTGTCCTTTTCTAAAAGGAAACACATACCAAATAATTGTTAAAACATTTTTTTATTATAAAATCTATAAATTAAATAATCATTTTGGTAAAGTTCTTTAATAATTTAAAATCCTCAATATCCACAGAAATCTATTTGTGTTTTCTACTACTCTCCATTGAATCCTAACTTTAAACTTGTTTTTATTGGGTTTGGGTATACATACCATGGTATTTGGTTTTAACATTTATATGTTTATATGTTCTACATTTGGTAGAAGCTTGTGTTAACCTTTTTCTATTTAAACAATTGTTTGCAAATCTGAGCTTGAAAATATTTTATACACTTTAACAAAAATCACTGCATTTAGAATTAATGTTGCAGCAAATGATCATGGTTTATTTCTCTTTTTTAAGCCAAAATGGAACATTGGTTTCCTAATTCCTTCATAGTTCCTTCTATCAGATGGTAGATGGAATAATAACACAACAACATATTTCTGATTTCTCCAGCTATTTTATTTGTAAATACAAACACTCTTCGTTCATTTTTATTCTTGATATTTTCAGCTGTTATAAGGAGGTCAGTATTGAGAACCGGTTGGCATTGGACAAATTTTCTTTTTACCTTCTGGTTGAAAAACATTTGAGAGGAAGAATTTTAAAGATTAAATCCATTATTTCATACTTGTTGAAGCAATTCTTATTTTAGCTTATGAGTTGATTGAGTCAACCGTGGAAAATCCTGAATACTTCTCCTTGCTTTTATGGAACAACGAATCCTGTTCCCTGCTGAAACTGAATGAGAGTGTGGCAAGACAATGGCAAGGGGCCGGTTGGCCACAACAAGCTTCGAATGAAGAACTGCCTCACTAGACTGACTGATCCAGGCTTGGAGACCTGGCCTTGCTGATTCCAAAATTTGACTTTATTAATTTCGTCAAGGTGATCAGTTCCTTGGTGATAGATTAATTAAAATTACTCACGAGATCTAGAGGTATCACAATGCAAAAGTATTAGTGTGTAGTGGACTTTATACTTTCCACTGACCAGAATACTTTCATCCCTTCTCCTGGGCACAGTCTCCTGGTATCAGGGTATCTGGGAAACCACAAATAAATCATGAGAAGATTGATGTAGAATGAGAACAAAGAGAGGACTGTTTTACTCAGACCTATCCCAGTTAAGGTGGGAAGAGGTAGGAGCTTGTGAACAAGGAAGAGTAGTTGAGGAGTGGGAGAGAGGAGAGGATTGTGAAACTTTAGCTAGACTAAAACCACAGATCACCAGAGGGGAGGAAGGCAAATCTCATCTGAAGTCCAGGAGGGTGTGTGAACAGCAAGTAATGGTGATAATTGTGTAGATAGACTTTTACAAAGCATTCCAAATCGATGAGATAGCTTGAGTGGTAACATGGAAATGGTGGTGGGGTTGTGGGGAGAGGGTTTGTGGAGCATTAGGGAAATCACAAGTAGCCTGGTCATTTGGAAATGTGTGGTGAATAGGAAGATACAGTGAAATATAAGGCTACTGCTGTAGGTTCGTGATGGGTCATGGAGAGCTTTGAATTATATGTGATGCTGACATGCTCTGTCTGGTATAAGAAGGCAACTTTGACAAAAGAAGAAACCATTGAAAGAGGAGGTAGTAGAGCCAGTGAGACCAATTAGGGTTTTTCCCATAGCCATAATTATTAAATGCTGGCTTCTGAGTAAGCTTTTCTTCAGAATAGGTATACAAGTCAAAGTATGATTTATTTTATCAAGTTCCTGTTATGTGCTAGGAATTATTTCAGGACACTTTTAAAGGTTCTCTTAATTCTAACAGGAAGTTGAGATTATTTTTTAAAATTTTTATTCAATTTATGTAAATAGAACAAAACGGTTCATCCCTTTCTCCCACCCCCATATCCTGCCTCTTGCAACCCCCAATCTATTTTCTGTATCTGTAAGCTTATGTGTGTTTTAAATTCCACATATAAAAGAGATCATACAGTATTGGTCTTTGTCTTACTTATTACACTTAGCATAATGCCCTCGAGGTCCATCAGTGTTGTCACAGCCAGATTTCCTTCTCTTTTACAGCTGAATAATATTCCATTGTATATAGACCACAATTTTTTTTATCCATTCATGCACTGATTGTTGTTTCCATACACTTAGGTTGTTTCCATATCTTGAATATTTTAAATAAGGCTGCAATAAGCATGGGGAGTATATATCTTTTTGAATTAGTGTTTTTGTTTTATTTGGATAAATAGCCAGAAGTGGAATTGCTAAATTATATGGCAGTTCTACTTTTAATTTTTTGAGGAACTTTCCACAGAGGTTACACCAATTTACAGTCCCACTAACAGTGCATAATAGTTCCCTTTTCTCCAAACCTCAGCAAAACTTGCTATCTCTTATCTTTTTGATACTAGCCATTCTGACAGCTGTGAGGTGGTATCTCATTGTGGTTTTGATTTACATTTCCCTGATGATTAATGATGTTGAGCATCTTTCACATACTTGTTGGGCATCTGCATGTCTTCTTTGGAAAAATGTCTATTCAGATCTTCTGCCCCTTTTTTAATTGGACTTTTTTTATTCTGTTGAGTTGTATGACTTCTTTATATGTTTTGGATATTAGTCCATTTTCAGATACATGGAAATTATTTACAATTATTTTTTCACATTACGTAAGTTGTCTTTTTGTTGATGATTTCTTTGCTGTGCAGAAACTTAAAAATTTTTTTAAAGTTTTTATTTAAATTCCAGTTAGTTAACATACAGTTTAATACTAGTTTTGACGTACAATTTATTTTATTTTATTTATTTTCTTTTTTTCAAATTTGTATTTAAATTCTAGTTAATATACAGTGCAGTATTGGTGTCAGGAGAATAATTCAGTGATTCATCACTTAGGTACAACACCTAGTGCTCATCATAACAAGTGCCCTCCTTAATATCCATCACCCCTCTAGCCCATCTCCAACCCACCTCCCTCCATCAACCCTCATCTATATTTAAGAGTCTCATGGTTTGCTTCCCTCTTTCCCCCCCCCCCCCCATATCAGGTGTACAATTTAGTGATTCAGCACTTACAGGCAACACCTGGTCCTCATCACTAGTGCATTCCTTAATCCCCATCACCTATTTCACCCATCCCCCTACCTATCTCCCCTCTGGTAACCATCAGTTTGTTCTCTATAGTTAAGAGTCTGTTTCTTGGTTTGTCTCTTCCCTCTCTCTCTCTCTTCTTCCCCTTTACTCCGTTCTTTTGTTTCTTAAATTCCACATATGAGTGAAATCATATGGTATTTGTCTTTCTCTGACTTCGTTCACTTACTGTAATACTCTCCATCTCCATCTGTATTGTTGCAATTTTATCATTTTTTACAGCTGAGTAATATTTCATTGTGTACATATACCCACATCTTCTTTATCCATTCATTAATCAGTGGACACTTGGGCTATTTCCATTGGTTATTGTAGATAATGCTGCTATAAACACCAGGGTGCTTGTATCCCTTTGAATGAGTATTTTTGTATTCTTTGGGTAAATACCTGGTAGTGCTACTGCTGGATCATAGGGTAGTTCTGTTTTTATGTTTTTGAGGAATCTCTATACTGGTTTCCACAGTGGCTACACCTGTTTGCATTTCCACCAACAGTGCAAGAAAGTTCCCCTTTCTCCTTATCCCCATCAACACCTTGTATTGTTGTTTCTTGTGTTGCTGATTTTAGTCATTCTGACAGGTGTGAAGTGATATCTTATTGTAGTTTTGATTTGCGTTTCCCTGATGATGATTAATGTTGAACATCTTTTCATGTATCTGTGTAGAAACTTTTGGTTTGATATAATCTTACTTGTTTGTTTTCGCTTTTGTTGGTTTTGCTTTTGGTGTCAGATTTAAAAAAATAATTGCCAAGACCTGTGTCAGGGAGCTTACTGCTTCTGTTTTATGGTTTCTGGTCTTACATTCAAGTCTTTAATACAGTTTGAGTTAATTTTTATGTATGGTGTAAGGTAGTGGTCCAGTTTCACTCTTTTGAATGTAGCTGTCTAGTTTTTCCAACACCATTTATTTATTTTTAAAAATTTTAATGTTGTTTATTTATTCTTGAGAGACAGAGAGAAACAGAACGAGTGGGGGAGGGGCAGAGAGAGACAGAGACACAGAATCTGAAGTCGGCTCCAGGCTCTAAGCTGTCAGCACAGAGCCTGATGTGGGGCTCGAACCCATGAACTGTGAGATCATGACCTGAACCAAAATCGGATACTTAACCAACTGAGCTACTCAGGCACCCCTCCAACACCATTTATTGAAGAGACTGTCCTTTCCCTGTTGTATATTGTTGGCTCCTGTGTTGTACGTTAATTGACCATATATGCATGGATTTATTTCTGGGCTGTCTAATCTGTTTCGTTATATGTCTGTTTTTATACCAAATACCACAGTGCTTTAATTATAAAAGCTTTGTAATATAGTTTGAAATCAGGGAGTGTGATGCCTCTAACTTTGTTCTTCTTTCTCAAGATTGCTTCGGCTATTTGGAGTTAGAAGGTTGAGATTTTCCCAATTTCCAAATGAGGAAATTAAGTTTATAGAGAGAAGCGCCTTGAACAGATCTAACACTTTCCTCTCTCAGTAAAGATTGTGCTCATCCCTGACCTTCAGGGCCTCCATTCTACATGAAGGCCTACCTTCAGCCAGATCCTTGGAGAAGTGACGGATATTTTGTAAAATATCTTAAAGTGATAACTTAGCTCTCTGTCCTTGGGGTACAGCCTCTCAATTTTCTGAGATTGGATCTAAGCCTGCTCTTAGGTACTGAGATGTCTGAATGGTAACTTTTATTTAGAAGTGGTTATCATAATGTTACTTGAACATTGAAACTTGGGAGCTGGAGTTAATCTTGAAGAAACACCAGAGACCCTGTCTGAATGCCATAGGATAAATAACTGGACAATATTATAAGATCTGTGGTATCAGAAGTTCAATTTAACACCAAGGCACCCTCTGCGTAGTTTTTCAGATACCGTTAGAGCTTAAAGATCACACCCTTTGTGGGTTACCTTGCAGAACTGTGATACAAACTAGTGAAATTCATGGTCTCCAGAGGGTTAGTAGCATGTTACACCATATAACTAAGATTTTTGGATAGGTTAGAGTGGGTTATAGAAAACACTTAGTGTGATGAATTAAAGATAAAGAAGGACCATAGCAGAAGTGATGATCTGGAGACACTTGGGATTAAGTGCCTATTGAATTTTTGACCCCAAGAAATCTCTGGACTTCACACAGAAAGGTAAAGGACTCTCCAGAAATCACAGAGGCCTTTCAGGAATTAAGTTGGCAGTCCACTGGAGCAAAACAGTAAGCCCTCAGATCTCCAGAGGCCTCTTGTAGAGCACTCATTTCTCTAGCTGCATGCAAACCCTGTGTTCCTGAGGGCAGTGCAGAATTTCTGGATATTCTTATTGCCCAGACTGCATATTCAAAAACCAGTTTATTAATCTATTCACTTTGGAGAGAGCAGTTGAGAAAATCCCAGCATGTTAATCATAACATGCTGAAGGCTGGTTATAATCCTTGCAAAAACCAACAAGCATCTGTGGGTTCTCAGGGTTCATAATATTTCAGGAAACAGACTATTTCTATTCCTCTCATTTCTAGATTAGTGTATAATTTTCTCAATGATCAATTTTCAGATATTAATCTGTTGCAGGTGTGTAGAAAAAATCTTGAATAAAGCACTTTAATTGTAGAGGGAACTAATGAATCCACTAATCAGTGCACACTTCTTTACCTCCATTTTTCATATAGGAATGGGTATCCTTAAGGATGATCATGGTGGACTGATAGAAATGGAGTAGTGAACTTTCCCTGA